AGGAAGGAAGGAAGGAAGGAAGGAAGGAAGGAAGGAAGGAAGGAAGGAAGGAAAGAAACAAACACATCAGAACACTGTGGATAATGTTACATTTCACTAGAAAGGTACCTTCTTCAAAGCTACATGTCTGTTTATTCTAGGAAGCAGAGCTGTGTTTTTTTTCTCCCTTTATACCTGCACATCTATTTAGCTGCCTCAACAGGACAAAGAAAGAAAAGCTGGTTTGTTGTGCTTAAGCTCTGATAGGTACATTCTATTTAACAAGGCTTGGTCCATCTTGGTTCTGCCAGCTAGCTTGGCTTCGTATCTTCATTTGTAGGCCTGGCTAAGGACAGGACAGAATTGTGATCTGAACGTGGACTCCAGAGCAAAGACAAACTTCTGGGGTGGTCACCTTCATGAGAATGGAATACAGAGAAAGAGGGATGTAGAGCCGGACCACCATACGTTCAAAGCCACCACCTTTCCTGCCATAAAGCCTATCGGAACAGAAGGATAAATGGAAATTGATCTTATTCTCCAAACATGCCTTCCTAAAGAATCCTTTGTAATAACTGGAAGGCAAGATTTTATCCAAAGGATAAAGAATGACATGACTCAAACTAAAGCTGGAAAGAAAATGACTGCTTTAGTGTTGTCTAATCAGACCAATTTTTCAAGATTCCTTCTTATTTAGCTTTTTCAGCATCGACCTTGGTTACGTTTTACCGAGACCACTACTGATGTCTACGCTCTGAAGACAGACACATCAGAAAAAATGTGTTCATAAATAAAATACACAAGGTGTTGCTAGGAACTTAAAACAAGATTGTTTTCTTGAAACCTGCTTTTCTAGTGCATTGAATGCGGATGGCAAAGTGGAAGTTACAATCTCCAGAGAATCAGGCACTTAAATTCCTCTTGTCACCACCAGTTTTAAAAAAAAGGATGAGAATGCCAGGTTTGAAACTAGAGACCTTCTGTAGTTAAAGTATGTATCTTCTCTATCAATGAGTTAGAGGCCTTCTTCATAGCTTTATGCTAATAGCCTACAAGTACCAGCAGATACAGAAAGACAGCCCTCCTCAACTAGATGTCCTGCAGACGTGTTGGATTAAAGATCCCCACCCTTCAGTACATCTGGAGGACATTAGGTCAGGAGAGGGTACACTAATAAAAGTCTCCCTTCCAAGATAAGGTAGACCAAGTAATCAGACAATACTGAGACAAGATGGAGCCAGGCCCTAGTAGAATCCTATCATCGTCATCATCATCATCACGCAACTAGAGATACCAGCTTGCTTAACATTGGACTCCAAGAAAGATGCTTTCTAGAAAGTGGTGAATAGAAACGTATTCTTCATCAACTTCCTTCAGAAGGATCTCATTTAAGCTCAACTTGGAAATACACCCAAGGAACTCAGCAATGTAGGGACCCCAACCCGAGGCATCTGTGTTACCAGCCTAGCATCTGGTTGGTGACCCATCGCAACCTGAACAGCCTTTCTTAAGGACGCTACCCTGCAGGCATGACTTCTGTTCAGAATCTACATATACTTTTTTTTTTAAATTTTGTACACCAATGGTTCCAAGGTCTCCTTATTTATAAATATAGCTACATATTTACATGCACACATACACATTTACAACTCGGCAGGCGGAGCACATATAGGCCAGATGCACGACTGTCACCTACACCGTCTTTTAGAAGCAAAACTGGGCAGAAATGACAAAGCACCAGAGAGGAAAATGCGCTGCGCCTAGACCAAACCTAACGCCATTAAAAACCCTTTGCTATGAAGCTGTTCATTTGATTGCCAAGTCAACAATGAAGGCATTTCGAAACCAGAACTACTTTCTCCTCCTCTTCCTCCTCCTCCCCCTCCTCCTCCTCCTTCTGGGAAAGGGCAGGAGAAAAAAAAAACTCTGCCAACTCAATACCTATAATATCATCTTCATTGCACTTTAGGCCCGACCTAAGGCACCTCTTGCAATCGCTCCCAGACGTTGCTTTTCAGATGGGCAACAGATCCCAGCCCGGCTACTTCTAAAGGGCTGGCTGCTGTGTTTTAACTTGGAGAGTAGCTTGTAGGACCATTGGCAGAATGAGAGACCATTGAGAAAAACTATATTTACTTGGGCAACCAGACCAAGAGAAAGGACTTCTTCGTCATCCCTCCCTCCAGCCTTGTTCAAACCTAGCTACCAAAGGATCGCGTTTGCCACTAAATTTTTCAAAAGCACCCCATAATATATTGTGGAATATGCTTGCTAAGAGATTCCCCCCCCCCCGCTTTTTTTTTTTAAAGAGTGGTGGAATTGTGCGCCCACTCTAATTTGCTAAGTCCAAATACACTGATTTCCATCAAAATCCTCTTTGGAAAAGAAGCACGGGACGGGATGCCAACAGCCACTTTGAAAACAGCAGCACACAGACATAAAGCCAGCACAATGATTTGCTCAGATCTCCTCCTAAATCTTGATGTTTGAATACGCTTTTCCCATTTTCCATCTACAAGTCGTCTTTGCTGGACTTCAAGCACTAACATTGTCCTTGAGGACCAAAGTCGTTCTGGCTCTATAAAGCCCAAGTCACTGGACACAGACTGGAGGCAAAGGAATGCAAACGTAAAAGTTCTTCCAAGAAAGCTTTGGAGATAGATCTCCATTCTGGAGTTGTGTGCCTCTTAAAGCCAGATGCTGAGGACCATTGGAGAGCGGTGTCTTTGCTTCACGTTTCCTCTTCCTTTCATGTACTTTTCCAGATTGTTCCCACTCACTTTTTCCCAAAAATTCATCCAGCCAAAGCTAAGAGCTTCCTTCAACATTTTCTGTTGGGTTAAGTAATCATGAATCCTACTTGCCCTCCTCTTATCGATAAACAGCTCTGGAAGGTGGAGATTTCTCACTGGCAGTGGAAGAAGCGATGGCCCTTCCCCTAACTAGGTTTTCTTTTCTGAGCAACTTGGGCACAGAGGCAAGGCAGTAGTTTTTATTTTTTTCCTTCACCAGGTGAACTCCTGCCATCAAAGTATGAATGGGATGAAAGCTCTTCTAGAACTTGAGGTGGAAGCATCAGGGAGAAGCGTCATCAAAGAATCTTCCACATCTGGCAGCGAGAATTGACAACAGTTGGGTGCAGAGAAAGGGATGGTATTTTTTGCCCAGGACTTTAGCCCAAAGCTGGAGAACTGCACATGGGGCGGTCCATAAGGAGAAGGGGCAAATCTTTTGATGTGATAACAGACCATGAGCCAATATTCCAGACTTAGGGGATAAAGTCTTGCATCCTTAGTCAATGTGCAATATAGACTTCCTTCTCAGAAAGAAACTTACGGACAGCGCTACGTTTTCCAAGATTATACCACCATCCCCTCAACTGAGCTGAACTCTTTTTTTGTGGGAGGGGTCAACCAAGCATATTGACTTGAACTGACTCTTATTGCTCTCTGCTTTGCACGATTTGTAGTCCCACCGTTCACATTTTAAATCCAGAATCTTTGGGGATAGATTTTTTTTTTCTGATGTTTTTTTCCTCTCTTTTTTTTTTCTCTTTTTGCTTTCAAATTTTTTAAAATAGTATAAAAATAAAGAATTTGCACACAAGGGCTAAAAGTGACTGGCTGCATTTAAATACTTGGGTGTGTGTGTGTGTGTGTGTGTATGTGTATTGTGTGGCCAGCTACATCTTCCAAATCAAAGCTTCAAAACCCATGAAATTGCTTTAGTCTAAAATTGTAAAACGTGTAGGAGGGACTGGTTTATCAAAATTGACTCCACACAGAATGGAACAGCTGTGCCCACAGCTATTTTACTCTTAAAAAGAAAAAAAAAAGACCTGTAAGTTCAAAAATAAAACTCAAGTAAATTCCTTTTGTCGATGTTCACATTAGAAAACTGCACCATTTCAAAAATCTGCAGCTAGGGCAAAAACCCTGCAGTAAGACATCCAGACTGTGTGTTTCCATGTTAATAATCGTCGAGCGTGGTTTCCAGGAACACGTTTCGGACATCTAGTATTGAAGCCAATTCCAAGATATGCTTCTGGAGATGGGGATTTTCCACAGTTTCATCCCTGGGCAGCTGGGGATACGATTCTGGATAGTTCCTGGTTTCCTGCTGGAGGAAAAGGAAGGAAAAATAAGAAGCCAGTAACACAAAGCAGTTGAACGGTCTGATGAAGACATCATAAGGAACAGAAATGTCTTTCAAAAATACGCTGCTGGCCGACACACCAGAAGTTACACAAAGCTGCCTACAGCCCAAGCAGAAATGGAAGAGGGCTGGATATTTGCAGTGATGTTTACTTGAGCCTTCTGGCGGGGTAGATCCTTTGCTCCTTCCTTCTGCATGAGCAAGTGAACCAGGATGCCTTCAAGCAAACCATAGCTTTCCGCACTGTCCGAAATGAGGCCTATGGTTCACAGCTTTGGAACAAGCCAGGATGCCAAAGCAAGACTGGAAGCTGCTCCTCTGGCTTACTCCAACGCTGCTGTTATTTCTCCGGTTCATACAGGGCACGCAACAATAGTTAAATGAAGACTTCCACGTTGGGTTCTTGCTCATGCAAATGGAGGAGGAAGATTCTGGGTTCACGTGAAACACTCATCCACACCTTGGCTTATCACGCTAGTATAAGGTTGCTTAGATCCAAGTACAAAATTGAGATGGTCATATCAGGAAGTGGGTACAAAACAGTGATCCCAGGATGCTGGACCTTCCATGCCCTCAAAAACAACGACTCTAAGTGATTCAGATACACGGAATTTAGATACAGACTGGATTCTGGTTCAGTTGTTACAATGACATAGCAGTTGCCTAACAAAGCTCTAAACCAAGATTAACAAAGTACATTCTATCTCATGGTACATCAAAACAAACCAACAACTCACATTCTAGCTTAACATGGTAGCATACTAAAATAATAGGTTCCTCAGTAGAAATATCTGAATACCGAACTTTGCAAACGCTTCACCCCCTGCCCCAAAGAATCCTCTGTATTAGTAAACATATGACAGAATCAAATTGTTCTCACAAGAGAAAAAAAAAAGATCATTGCCATACCCGGAAGATTTTGTGCATCCTCATGGTGGCTGAGCAGAAAACAAACCTTGTGAGAAGCAAGCGCAGGAATTCATCTCCAAAAAACTGGAGAAAGGCCTGGTCTATAATGAGGAGGGAAAAAAGAAAGCTGGAATTAGAAAAGTTATCTTTAACATTTCCAAGAAAAGGGGATGAGATTATTTCTCACCTCTACATCTCTCAAATACTCACAACTACATATAAAAATCAGAGTTATTGCAGGAATTCAGACTCCTGACAAATGGTTGTCCACTCCCTTCTTGAACACATCCAGTGAAGAGATGTTCAACTTTCTCAATCACTGGTTCCCTATTAAACCGCCTTAACAATTAAGACATTTTCTCCTGACTTCAACTAGAATCTTCCTTCCTGTCATTAAAAATTATTCCACATACTTCACAATGGGACAATAAAAAAGATTGCTTTTTTAGCAACACCAGATGCTTGAAAAGTGCTATTGTATTTCCTCCTCTATCATCCTTTCTGAAGGCTAACGTTACCCAGATCCCTCAGACTTGCTTCATAAGATTTAGTTTCAGCCCCTTCTTGCCTTCTCTTTACGCATTCTAGGTTCTCTGAATCTTTCAGTAATGATGGTACCCAGAAGTGAATGCAGAACTTGAGGGGGGCTTTGATCAATGAAAAATAAGGTGGGACTGTGACTTCTACTGATGTTGCCTAAAATTGCCCATGACTTTTAACAGCCATGGCACACTTTTGATTCATATTAAGCTTATGGTCAACTCCAAGATCCTTTTCAACCTGAAACAAGCCATGGATCTCCAATCCTATACCTGTGCATTTGATTTTTGTTTCCTAAGCGAAGCCCTTTGCATTTCTTACATTTCATTTTGCTATTTTCAGCCCATCTTTCTAACCTGTCACGCTCTTTTGAAATACTGCTTTTGTCATCCAGAGTTTCAACTAACCCACCTGGTTGTTGTGTCATCTGTATTGTCTTGAAAGCCTTTCAGAGTTGTGAAAGCCTGTCAAAGCTCCTCTCTACGTACTCAGCTTATGCTTAACACAATCAAGGCATCGTTGGTTTGAGTTTCTTATGGTTTTTTTACTTTACCAGGACTCAGATATCTTTTTTGTAATCTCTACATTCTCCTGACATTCCGTCACAGCAGCAATCCCTCACCTCTTCATCCGAGCCATTCATGGGAATGTAGAAGACCAAAATCAGAATTCTAAGCCACTTCATTTGATACCTACTTCCAGAGTGATGAGGAACCACGGAGAAGCACTTTTGAATATGGTTGTCAAGCCAGCTATTGATCTACCACATGAACATGCAATCCAGTCCACACCTAACTTGCTAATGTCACTGGTGGCCAGATTTTTGGGGAGCTACAAATCTCCTTCTCCTTCAAAACATACCTATGGAACGGGAATGAGTCAACAGCTGTGCGATATCCCGGTTGATTTTGCGAAGGTAATCATGACATTTGTCCCATAATCCTTTACGCATGCTTGATAATCCAGAGACAAATAGGAATGCCATTAGAGGGTTGTTCAAAAAGAAGGTGAAGAGACTGCCTCGTTGAGATTGATCTAGAAGACAATAAAAACCAAACAACTTCACACTGAACCCAGGAGAAACGGGGAGTGAGTGAGAGAGAGAAGTGACCCATGGTGACATTTCTGAATTCCCCCCTCAAATCTGAGCAGTTCAGAAGGGCGTTTATTTAAGACCTCTGTTACTCCTTCTGGTCATGGTCATTTATAATAAGAGCTTGATGGCTTTCATGATGATCGTTTTTGTATTATTTTTATATTACTGTCACCGTTGTTTGGGCTAATTATACAACTGCATGAGTCCACTTGCAAATTGGCAGTACATAAACAAAAGTAAATGAATACATCAATAGGATTCTTGGGGTGGGACTTCCTCTCTGCTGGAGACATTCACCGTTTGGTGTATTTTTGTTGTCGCTGCTGTTGTTTTTAAAGGGAAATACTCTATGTTTGGCCTTACTCTGGACTAATTTTTTTCACCACCTTCCCAGGAGCAAATAGACTTTTTTCCCCCAGTCATGGAACATAACTTACCTCCAGAGCCAAACGGTGAAGTCTCCAGCTTCTCTCATGCATTCACTGCTGACCACCAGTTTCCTGTGTCACAAATTATGTCACCAGACTGGACTTCATGCTGGGAAGGAGGTGATAAAGGGGCGTCTCTCTCTGAGAGCGACGCCTCTGAACCATTTACAGTTATAGGGACTGGAAAAACGGGTTGGAAAGTTAATTGGTATAGAGCGCCTTTCAAACCAGCAAATAGTTAGCTCCCAACCAAGATTCGCTAAGGGTGCCAGAGACGTTTCCACTAAGTCAACCCCAACACACAAAGTCTACCACAGGTTTGGTTGGAATAAAACAGCAGTTAATACACACACCCAGGGCAGCCCCCTGTGGGAACCCAGAGATTGGTGGAAGCCCTGCTCTCCCATTTCTTCCTCAAGATCCTTAGAGAAGCACAATTCTTGCCTGTACAATACAGGCACGTGGCTGGGGACTTGGGATAAGAATGCTGGAAGGTATCTCTCTCCCTCAATGGGAGCTCACTGGTTGGAGATCTTCAGCCAGCTTGTTCCAAGAGCCGTATAGCATCTTTTTGAAAAATGGAAGGGACAGAGAAAAGGAAGCCTTCTCTGTTTCCCACCTTCCTGCTGTCTTCCTGTCAGCTCTTTGAGATAGATCAGACTAGGAAACCCAAGTTATGAATGCTAACATTACTTTTATTATAAGATTACAGTAACAGAATCTTGCAAGTCTGAATGTGCCTCTCTCATCCCTCCCTTTATCTTCAAGAGAACTAGGGTCTCTTTCTCAAATTACATTCCTGCCTCGGACTCAAATTTCTTTTATCAGACTGTGATCTTGGTTGCAGTTCCTCTTCCTGCTCCTCAAGGTTATTCCAAAACCCCTTACACTTCCACTGCTGAAACCCTAAAGGTTTAAAGAATGGCTTTCGGCCCTATTGACTTTGTTGCCATACAGCATGAAGGACATTTAGGAGAAGAGAAAGAAGTCAAGGGTGTTTCCTCCCTTTCTATCAGCCAAAAGATCAATGTACCTTACACAGGATGGAAGCAACTTTGAATTAAGGGCTGAGATTTATCATTCCAATAATGGGGACTTTGGGGGTTTTTTTCCTCTTTCTAGCATGTTTTGAGAGGAGTCTAACACCACTTTGTAAAACTCAACTGACAGATCTGGAGACTCCCTCAACATTCCACTGAAGAATTTAAGGACACCGACTCCAAGATCAGCTACATTCCTGAGTTCCACCCAATTTTTTTCTGGGCTTTTCCTTCTGCTGACTGATGAACAGTCCCAAGAATCCTGAAAACATGCAATGGATGGAGAATTTCAGTGGCCTTAATGAAGGTGTTGCTTTTATGAATTTTGGATAGGTGTGGGGTTCTTTTTTCATTTTGCTTTATTCCTTATGGCATGGGAAGAGAGGAATTTTTAAGCCTCCCAACAGGCTTCTACAAACTGGACCGCCATCATCAGAATACAGTAACAGGATCGAGCAGACTTTTTTCTGTCTTCCCTCTTCTGAAACCAGCCACATTCCTTAAATTCCAAAAGCCACAGGATAGGAGTCCTTTGCAGGTCATGCTGTGTTCAACTGCTTGTTTTTCCAGAGGAATGCTCTCTCCTACACCTCTGCAGAAACCACAGCTCACTTTTAAGTGGATCCATTTTCCTTCCTAATTGCTAAACGTTTTTATTGTCCTTTCTTTGATGAGCGAATGCCCCCTTCAATGATTAGAGCTCTTTCCTTTTTGAATTTTATCAGATTCTGAAATGGCCTCCTTAACGCAACATTTATTTTTGTTGATGGTTGGTACACGGATCACCCAACACTCAAGAGCAATGCTAGGTTTTTCCAGGAGAACAACATGGTAGGCTAGAAACAAGTGCCCCAAGCTTTTATGTTGTTTCCCCTAATACAATTTTAGAAGAGATCAAGTATGAGTTAATTTGTGCAGACTCAGCATTCATTCTTCATGCTGAGCTTGGTTATTGGCTTCTAGATGTTTCATTACCCAACTACTATAGGTAACATCACCAGCACTGATGTTGTTACCTACAGTGGTTGAGTAATGAAACATCTGTAAGCTAACAACCAAGCTCAGAGAGCATCAACAACTCCATAGTTCAACCCTGAGCTATACAGCTTCTATTGGATTAAATCCAAGAGAAGCTACTGAGAATAAATCCAAGAGTAGTACTGACTTCTATTGGATTCATTCTTCAGTTGGGGCCAAGTACAGGAACCTATGACAGCCCAATTCATAGTATGCTAAAAGCTATTGGGAAGACATGAGAAAAGTAGATATATGGGGCAAAACCAAGACTGCTGTCCCAGAGTAATCCCAACTCAATGAATGCTTTAGGTTCAACTCATTCATTAATGTGAGCATTTACCGTAAAACCCGAAAAGGCAGATTCTCTCTGCTTGAAAGGGCTGGTTATGTTTCGGAGCAATCAAGGAGAACAAATGTTGCACCAGCTTTTAATCTGTGAAACTAACCCCTTCCACTCGTTGGTATTTTTGAGACTACAAAGTTGTAATGCCAGAACAGGAGAGGAGAAGCATTCTCCTACCTTGCAACGCTTTTGGATACGTTGTTGGAGAAAGCAAGCACACCAGCGGCTGCCCAAATAAGTTGGTGAAATTCTAGAAGGAAACCATAGAAAGAGACCAGCATGGACCTCAGACACAATTTCACTCTTAAAAGAGAGGTCTGTTTAATCAAATGCACACAGTCCGTTCCATACAAGAAGCATGATCTGGTCAGTCTGTTGGACCAAGAAGTTTATGTTGTGCGTCAGTAAGAGGAATTTATGTTGTGAGTCATATGGACAACACAACAGGACATTTCCCAGCGTAGAAGACCATGCTGAGAAGCAAAACTGTTTTCTTTGTCAAGCCAGTTTTTCTCTTAACACATTCCTCATGGTGGGAAAGATATTGGAGGGTGCTGGAAATTTCTGGAGGGGGTAGGCACAGGGGAAAAAGAGAAGATACGAGCAACTGCACCAGCCTTTTTTCCTGCCTGATGTTCAGGATCTAACATACAAAATAGCAATTCCTTTTCAAAGGGGTCAGTCCACTAAGTTTCATGAAACTAATTCCTACCAAGATAATATATTAGAGACCAGCAGGATTTAGCAAGAATAATATCCATCTCCCTGGCTTGGCATCCTCTTTCTTTCTCCTCTTTTAGCAATGTGCTGATTAAGCACAGTGCTCCAAACGGAGATGTAACTCAAGCAGATTTATGAGGCAGAAGGCTACAAAGAAAAAGGATCCTGTTTGTAGTCCTGGGCAAAACAGCAGCCACGGCAGAGTTGCTGGCGTGAGCAAAAAGAAAGTATGAACCAACTTGTGGAAATAAACAATGGAGCCCACCAAAATGCGCTCTGTCCTGGTTTGCATGTTGTGCTGGCTAACTGCAATCGGCCAGGTTTACGTAACAGGCAAATCCATAAAGTAGGCCTTCTGAACCACAATCAGTAGGTTCACACCACCAAACAAACTACGTCAAGGATCACTGCAAGGTAAGAATCCAAGAACACACCCAAGTTGCAGGATTTCTCTGCAGTCATTGGTGTTTTAACTCCATAAAGAACATGGGAAGGCCAGGAACAGATCATGCAGTTATTTCCTGGATGATTGTTTCAAAACAGATGCTTTGGGCAGAAACCTAAGCAAAGTTCAGGTTTCCTCTTCTAGAAACCTTTAGATTTGGGGGGAAACAGAATCACAGTTTACTCCTCATTTGCAACTTAAATGCTAAATTCAAGAAAGTATTTCTCGAATGTTAGCCTCACCTCCTTCTCTGGGCAGTTGGTTTCTTCATTCTATTCCATATACAGCCCAGCGTCCCTGGACAATATGTTCACGAGGACTAGCAACTCTAAACAGCATTAGCAGGGGCCTTACCTTGTAGGCGACGCTGTTCGAGGAATCCACTATGACAAACAGAGGCTTCCTGGTGAAAGGGTACAGATCACCAGGGTGCAGGCTGGAAAAGGAAACAGGGAAGGATTCAGAATGTGTAGGGAAATTGCACAAAGGTGGGAAGATTCAACACTACCCACCATGGAGGAATAGTTGAAAATGATGGAACTTGCTGAGATGGCTAAATTGACTTCCTTGATCAAAGAAAAGACCATATCTATGTTGAGTGCTGGTGGGACACCCCTTGTAGACTGTTTGCGCGAAACAGAAAAAAAATGAACTTATGATTTATGGTTTTCATGATCGGACAGGATAGTTATAGCAAGAAGAGAGTCATGTTGTGACTGTAGAGTAAGAGGTAAATTTATAATTGTACTTATAACTGCTATAAAGAAGATCGGAAGCTACTTCCTTGTATCTTTCTTCTTTCCTATTTTCCTTTTCCTTTATTTTTTTTTCTTTTCTTGCACTTTTAGCCTTCTCTTTGATTTCTTTCTCAGTTCTGTGAAATAAACTGAGATGGTGACCAGTCTCATATCATAAAGCGAGGGGGTCAAACAGAAACCTTCTCAATCCCACTAATAGTTACTATTGACTATTACTGCACACTGGTACTGAACAGTCTAGGCATCTTTATGTAGCCAAGGCAAAGGCCCAAAGGCTAATGGGAGTGGAATACCAGGTTTTCCAAAGCATGATATCCCAGACTGATTGATTTGATTTACATGGCCACCCATCTCGCAACGGTGACTGCAGAGGGCAACCGGCCGCCCAATCTTCCAGGAACAAACAACTCACCAATGCATTTCCTTGTACAACTGGTTCCGTTTATGGATTGCGTCCCCGTTTACGACATCCCGGTTGCTATTTGTCAGGACACCCCCAAAATCATAGGGACCTGCAGGCGACAAATGAGGGGGGAGTCAAGGTAAGGAAATCAGCTGGTTTGGTGAGGAAATAAGCATGGAATAAGGACTACAATTCCATTTAGAAGAATTGGGATAGTTGAAAGAGCTTGCAGGTGACTTGCTGGACCACAGACTTTGGGTTTAGATCTAATGCAGCTTCTGCCTCCCTCCTTGGTTATATAAAATATTGTCAAGCCTTCATCCTTTCAGCCTAGCATTCAGTGAACTTCCATATTGTTCAGTGCTTCTCAGACTTGGGCCTGCTTTTTTTTTGTGGGGGTTGCTCCAGTCCCCCCTACCGGCGGTGGTTGGTGGCTACCTCCCCATATACAGTACAAATTCATATAA